GAGGTGGGAACTGCTGAGCCAGATCACCTGGCTCTCTGTTTCAGCTCTCTTTTTTTTTTCAGTTGAATGGGTGACTCTGCCTCCCAGGGGTTCCAGGCATCAGTTGAAACAGTACCCAGATTTGTGTGAATTTTTGTGCGGTGACCCACTGCACTGGCTGAAACAGCCATGCTGGAGACTCATGGTGCTTTTCCACCTGGGAATCTCCTGGTATGTGGGTGGTAAAAATTCATTTGGAAATGTGGTGATCACTCACCTGCTATGTTCTTGCTGGAAACTACACTCCAGAGTTGTTCCTATTTAGCCATCTTGGATTGTCTGCCAATAAATTACTTTATAATTGTCAGGAAATATTTAAGCAGGTTCTCCTCTCTATTTTTTTAGGGGGATCCAGCCTCCTGACATTTTTTTTAAGGCAAGAAATTGTGATTTAGGAAATAAGCTGAAGGGGAAGTTTGTATTCTCATTCTCACACTGTAAAAAGATTTTACTCTGCTAGTTTTTAGCGTGTTATATCTCTGTCCAACCAGTTTTCATAAGTTTGTATGTATTTAAATATACTGCTTAAAAAGCATAAGATCAGTATTGTATCAGCAATCTTTCTGTTATAGTTTTTCTCATCAGTGAGAGCAGATCCAGCCCTACAACTGAATTGGCTGCACCCTGATGTTGAGTACTCCTTTCTTTCCATTGACTCACTCTAGATTTCGACTCTGTCTTTTTTGACCTGATATTGACATATAATAAGTTTTCTATGAAAATTAGAATTATAGCATGTGAACTTCTTACATAGAGCCTGGCACATACTAAAAGCTCAATATGCTTGTTATTGACATAACATTGGAGAACATCAGGCTTTAATGCTTATACCATTGTCCAATAAATAGCATCAGGCATTTTACTATATTTGTCTTTAATCATTTCAATCTTTTATAAATGTGAGCCATATGACCATAATGATAATAAATATTGCAAACAATAATTAGAAAAAACAGAAGACATTGCATGCTACTCCAGTTTGAATGACAAAACAATAAAATAGTAAGTAAAACAATTACATGTATAGTGAAAATATAGATAATTGGAATATGTAATGAGAGATCATATATCATTTCTTACTTACAATATGGATTTCCCCCACTTATTTGCTTTCTCGGTGCTTTTGTTTTAATAAGGCAATCCTACCCCAACTCATTAGAATCTCTAGGAACCATCATCAAAACCCAAACTGTATTTTTCCACACAACATAGCAGACAGAATAGCAACATAGTGTCTTACAGAACAATTTCCTTGACATTCTACTAAAGGGTTTCTCAAATTTTAATTAGATACCTTTGTGTTCTCAAATGGTAAATTTTTCCATTAAAATTCTAATCAAAATTGTTAGGGATTATTTCTGAGGTATACCTGGGCCTAATTTCTTGCCTTTGATAAGCCCAGAGTTTATCAGGGAAAAACATTGTGTAAATAAATAAGAGTAAGAAAATATTAAAGGTGACATGATGGACAAACTACAAGTTACACAACAGACTCCAAAAAATTATTGATCACTTCTTCCTATAGGGGAGACAACGGCAATACTTCATAGTGAGAGCATCACTTGCCCTGCCTCAATGAGGAGTTCAGGGTATGTGAGCAGACAAAGAGCATGGTATTGGGATGGAATGCTGTCAAGTACTGGGGCAAGAGAAGGTAATAGGAGCTTTAATAACAATGCAAAAGATTTTGAACATTTAGCTCTCAGCAGATGGAATCTTGGAATGTCTCATGCTTGAGAAGGACATGGTCAGATTTGTCTTAAGAAAGACTGTGCAGAGAAATGTGGCAAAGGGATCTAGAAGATGCAAGTTATTATTTAGAAAAGACAGTGATTGAAGATTTAACAGTATTTGATACTTCCTTGACTAGATACAGTTGATTTTCAAAGGCTGGAGAATGTATACAACTTAGATCAATGGAAAATGTATAAAATACAGTATTATGTTGGTGATAAGCTATTATAATCTGTAATATTTTATACTGATGATAAATAATTACTCTCTATATAAAATATTTTTCTAGGAAAAATGAAATGATGATTATGAATCATCACTGTTATTTCAACGATGAGTTTAGCAAAGTGAAGTGAACTTTAGAAATTAGTCAGATCTCTGGAAAATTGTAGTAAAAGCTATAATGAGGGCCACAGGGCATTGAAAGCTTCTGAACTATTTAATAAACCATGAAATATTAAATTATGCTTAACATATTTCAACATTACATGTATTCACATAAACTCCAAAATGTGACTCTAAAATGGATAATTTCCCATTAACCAAACTATTTTAACTTGATCACAATTCTTAATCAGATAAAACACAGGTATAATGTGTAGTGTATAATGAACTATGTTTTATCTTAATGCTTTCATTATATGAATTTCATGAAAAACTGTGTGTATTTTAAAATAAAAGTTTCTGTTCTGTTGTCTGAGCCAGAAATATAGTACATCATATTATAAGATTTTATATGAGTAATTAAACATTCAATATTAGAGTAGCCAATAAAACAGAAAATTATAATCTTCAAAATAAAAATGAAACAAAAGTACTTAAAAATAAAAAAATTTCTAATTATCTTTAATGCTTTATTTTAGGATTTTTTTATTGCATTGTAGGTTTTGGGGTACATGTGAAGAACATGCAAGTTTGCTGCATAGGTACACGCGTGGCAGTGTGACTTGCTGCCTTCCTCCCCATCACCTATACCTGGCATTTCTCCCCAAGCTATCTCTACCCATTACTGGGTATATATTCAGAGGATTATAAATCATTATACTCTAAGGACACATGCACACGAATGTTCATTGCAGCACTATTTATATAGCAAAGACCTGGAACCAACCCAAATGCCCATCAATGATAGACTGGACAGGGAAAATGTGGCACATATACACCAAGGATATTTTAACTTAGTCACAGCCATTGTCTTTGAGAAAACATGGAATACAGCAAAAGTTTAGTTTATCAGAAGAGCCATCAGACAAGAAAATACCCATGAATATGCTTCCCTTGGGTCTTCCGGTAGCCCTTTCCTCTTCTATAATGACACTGTATGTTTAGTTTTCTTATGAGGTGAGGTATATTGTGATAGTGAAAAATTCATTATTTCCTGAAGATTTCCTAATAATAATTCATTATAGTTATGTGTTGTCACTATCTTTCCTTTTAGAGTGTAGACATACTTAGAGTATACTGAGAACTGGTTGATAATGACTTTAGAAATGAAATCCAATGTAGATTGCAGCATATGCATATTTTCTATGAGGATTACCTTTTACTTAGTAAATGGTAGCATACAGAAATGCTTCATGTTGCTACTTTAATTAAAAAAGATCCCTTTCAGTAATGCTCTGTACTCTAGAGAAATTATAAACACACAGATTGGAAGAGCTGAGAATGCTTATTTAACTAAGCTGTCAACAGCAGTATCTCAGATCTGCTTAAATTTACTGGGGGAAAATCTATTTGAAATGCTGAAAATAAATACTAAACCACTTGTAATGTTACACTCAATACATAAGAATATATTACAAGTCTAAGGGGAGCTAGAAGTATCTCTCATACATGTGATTACCTTTTGACCCATCAATTTTACTGATAGGTTTATATCAAAAAATTAGATGCAAAGATATCTCATACAATTTTTAATTGCATCATTTTTGTAAGATAATATTTGGAACTAAGGGAGTTAGATAAATAAATGCATGTTTCAACTAGATTATTCAGCAACTTGAAAGAATAAAGTGAACCTATTTGTGATGATATGGAAAGATTTATAATATATACTGAAAGACACAAAGACAAAAAGTGATAGACATTATACAATTCAGTGTATCTGTTACTTCTTAAACAGTTGTGTGTGTTTAGTGTTTGTGTGTCTGCACGTGCATGCACACACAAAAAAAAGTTCCTAAAGAACTAGATTATAGCAGCAATGGTAATCCATAGTAGAAATTACAGTGATGGGAGCAGAGGAGAATATTCAACTGCATCTATTTTGTCTAATTCTTGCTTTGCTTATGTAATTAAACATAAAAATAAAATTACTGTTATTTTTTAACCTCACTCCTTATGAATAGAACTTGGACATTTCCTCTATTTATTGTAATATTTTTTAAAAATTTCTATGTTAGTAAGAATGTGAAATTTCAGGACAGGTGACATAAATACATCATCATAACTGCAGGATGTATCTTTAGTATTATATATATATATATATATATATATATATATATATATCAGTATTATTAAGTATCAGGAAGCCTAAGCATTAAGATTGAATTGATGATGATTACTTTCGCTATTTGAGGAGAGAACATAGCATAATGTCCAAGACCACAGTCTGGGAAGTCAAATACACCTCATCCCAATAGCTATGAAATCCTGGGGAAGTTCATTAAACATTCCCTAAAGCCTCATTTTTCCATGATAAATAAATAGATATGATAATAGCTAGTATTTGGAGTCTTAGGAGGATTAAAATAGATAATACATGTAGATAGTCCCAGAGCACAGTGAGTAGCATAAAGTAAGTTCTCCTAAAATTTAGAATTTTAGTGTTACTTAATAGCTTTTATTAATAGCCTATTTTCCTTCTCTTTATAAGTTATATAGTATTTGAAACAACACATAAAAAGTATTGTTTTATGAGTTTTTCAACAATGTATAAATTTTCAAAACTGTTTAATTCTCTAATGACATCCCTAGTTGTCAAGTATAGAAATTTAAATATTTTAGTATGAGACTGCTAAAGGATAGTCAAAGAGAAATATATTTTATGCAATTCTTTGATTTTAATTGATTATCTACATAGTGCCATGAATCAATGATGTTTCAGTTACTCAAGGGAAATATTGCAAATTAGATTACAGGATTGAACATAGGAAAATTGATTTTCACTGATGAAATTATTATTTCTAAAATGAGTTTTTCATTACAAATTTTTATTATACTTTCAGACCATAACTTCCTTCCTAATCAATAAAGTAATTTATACCATGGAGGAATGAAAAGAACAGTGAGACCAAAGGTCGGTATAAAAATTATGTTTAAGGACTTGGTAATAAATCTAGGTCGTGTTTATTTTAAAATTCAGTTCTTTATAAAAATAACTTGATAATTTACTTTAAAAAAATCTGTGACCAGTAGGAAAAGACATTTGAATCTGGTTTCATGTGAAGTTATGCCAAATGAATCGAGGCTGTCATATAGTTGTTAATATCACAAGGATTAATCCTTAAGAGTCTGAAAATAGGAACAAAATAGTTCAGGTATTTGAAATGTTTAAGATTTGATACTCAAATAAAGAGAGTTAACACTTTAAGAAGCATTTTTAAAATGTTTATTATACCATATCTGTAAATGTCCCTAGAACATAGATACTTATTCTTCACATTTGACCATTTGACTATGGAAATGACCTTCAGTCTCACTGGGAGTAGGCTGTATGATAGTTAATGACATTTTTCTTCTTTTATCTGAATTATCGCCAATAACATCTTTCTTCTTAAACCTGAATTACCACCTTGAGACAACCTGAAATTACTTGTCATTCATGAACTATGATGTACAATTCTGTGGACTGATTTGTCAATTCAGATATTAGAGTGCAGCTTTAAGAGTCATTATAGAAATGAAAATTATATCTCCTATAAATCCATATAAGAGAAGTAATTTTGCAAAATACAAAGGGAAAGAAGTAAAATACTCTTAGGCTTAGAAGACAGTATTTAACTTTAGAACTAGTCCCTTCTAGAATTTTTGCTCTACATTTTTTGCATAATTTTGATAATACATATAGAATTATAGGGGTTTTTAAATGCATTGTTCTAAATATAAGCTAAATACATATTTTTAATAAAAAATGTATTGAGAAAAGACAAAAGAGATAAAAGAAGAACCATCATTCTACTCTGTATTCTAATTTCATGTTATTTATCCATTAACAAACATAATATGGGTAAATAACATTAAACTGGAATACGAAGTAAAATGATGACTACCTGAAGCTGGAAAGGAGGGATGGTTAATGGGCATATACATATTTAAAAAATTAGGAAATAGAGAAAGGTATAAAGAAAAAAAGTAGCAATCATTCACAATTGTATGAAAAGCATACTGTCACTATTAATATGTCATTGTAGTTCTTTAATCCTTCTCTGTATACATTTTTCATAAAGTTTTACATATTAAATATATAAGAACATTTAGAGGTCTTAGATGCAAGAAAATATGTGGAATTTTTTGATACGTATTATGCTTTTTCATTCAGAAAGAACTTTAAAGATTAAAAAAAAACCATTTCTCAAGTTTCTTGACATGGAAGGGACCTTTAAATTGCTCTACTCACTCTAACTTTCTAAATGGAATAAACAAGAAAAAATGCTTGATAATTATTTTGTAAACTTCAAAGTATAAGAATTTTATAGCCATTTTTAGCAAGTATGTGAATGAAAAAAAAGGTAGATACTGCTTTAAGTGGCTAGAAACAACAGTATTTGAAGCTTGGATGCAGTTGTATTGTACTTATATAATAAATATTTGTATAATACAATCATATAATTTTGTAAGTATATACTATATATATTTTGTGATTCTACAGAATTCAAAGTTACAAAACAAGAAATAAGCTTAATACAAAGTCTTAAATGCTACTTAATACAAAATCTAGCTTCACCACTTGGCTTTAAAAGCAACATGAGGATACCTAAATCCTACTGGTTTCTTGAATGTGGGATCAAGATTAAGTAAAGGAAAAACTGCAGTCATTTTTCACCATACTCTTTCCATTTATCTCTAAAATGACTTTGTGAAAATTTTAATTATTTTCTAAAGAGAGAAATAAATCAATATTTTATTTCTGAAGATCTTACAGAGCAGGAAAAAAGTATTTTACTTTGCTTCTGCAAAGTAAAGATAACTTTTGTGAACTAAAATTATGGAACAATAGCATTTCCCTTGAAACATGTCAAAATACTTTCTTATTATCTTCTCATTTAATAAAAGTATTGCAAAATAGAAGTCTGAAACCAGGCTGTTCATTTTGTTTATCATGAGCTCTATAGTGTATTAATTTATACTATTTCCACTTAGACGGTGGAAGGATTTTAAGAAAACAGGAAAAATCAACCACTTTATAATATAGAAATGTTACACTCCTTATGCCACTTTTTTTTTTTTTTTGCCATACTGTCACACTGGGATCTTTCCCACCCTTATCTCACTCCCTGTCTACCTTCATCTCCTCTATGTAATATTCTCTGAAAACAGCCACTCCCAAGTAGACAAGTTCCTTATTTTCCTATTTTACGTTCTATTATATCCTGTGCATTTTTCTAACATCATGCCTCTAACAATTTATTTATCTACTTTTTGGTGGATTTACCTTCCATTTGCCTTGAACTAGACACTAGTGCAAAAGCAGGAACTTATTTTATTTTAGAGACAGGGTCTCGCTCTGTTACTCAGGCTGAAGTGCATGACACAATCATAACTCAACCTCGAACTCTCGGGCTCAACTGATTTCTGTCCGTAGCCTCTCAAGTCTCTGGAACTATAGGTGTGCACCACCATGCCCACCAATTATTTCATTTTATCATTTTTCATAAAGACAGGTTCTCACTGTGTTGCTCAGGCTGGTGTCAAGCTCCTGGCCTCAAGCAATCCTTTCACCTCAGCCTCCCAAAGCGCTGAAATTATAGACAGTGAGTCACAAGGCCAAGGCCAAGAAAGAACATGGATGTTAAATTAAGCTTTTCTTTCTTGCACAATGCCACCTGCATAGTAGGGCTTCAGTAAATGCAGATAGAACTAAGGCAATACTTAATGTCTTGGGCAATGCAGACTGAGTAACCACTTAAGATGTGTTTTTAAAATTATTTGGAATAGCTATCAGGAAAGTATTGAAAGAATTTCTAACCCCAACATGTATTTTCTTCCTCTGTAATAATTTTCTGTTCTAGTTAAGCTGCATATTACATTGCAGTCATTGTTCACAGCACAGGTATCTGGTACCTAGTATAAACTCAATAAATGTTTGAGTGAAATAATAAACGAATATTAATGATTCATCTGTAACAGAAATTCTTATTTTTAGAATTTAATAACAAGCTTAGGAAAAACAACACTTAAACAGGAAAATAATTCGTAATCTGAACATATTATTTAAATATAAAAATATGTTAATGTATGCATTAAAGCTACCCAAATTTGTTATTTGGTACTACTAAATTCAAGTTAATTTATCTGATCTATTACTGTATGAAAATGTACAGTAAAAATGTTTAATGATAGCATTGAGACAATATATTATTGCCTTTTACACTATACTACTGGTTGTACATAAATGCTTGTCCCATCCCTTTAAGAAAAAATAATCATCTTATGTATTATGTCTTAACATTAATGGTGGAAACATGATTGCTAGTGTTCCTCCATATTATTGCTTAACCAATTTTTAATTTGATTTTGAAGCACCTAATTTTTATCTCTCTGATAAACTCTGTGTAGACTAGGATGCATAAAACATCAGAGATTTAGAAAGGCCTATGTTTAAAATGAATTGCCATTAATCATACATAGATAGGATATTTGCTCTCTATTATACTGGGGAACACCACTAAAACTATCTTAGTTCAGTTTCTATTTGTAGTGTAAGAATAATCATGAATCTATCTCATGAGTTTTGTGAAGGATTTAACAAAGTATACTTTATAGCCCTTTGAAAGAATTAAGTTATTCTCATCATCGTCACTCTTCTCTTCCCCACAACTCAAAATAGTATTCACAGTTACAGCTATTCATGGAACAAATTAATTCCTTTACTCTTGCTGATGTAGTTGTTCAATGTTTGCTGCTACTGATTCCATTCTAACCAGGCACTTTTTCAGCTCACAGAAAAAAAAAACATTTAAGAGAATGATATTCTAAAAGAGAAGTTGATTTAAAAGTTAAAATATAACTTGTCTTAATTAGATTTAATATTGGAAGAGTCTTCCCAATCCTCATCTCAAGTTTTACCATTTCTGTAATCAGTGGCAGGAAATCTGGATCCTGTCAATACTTCACATTGTAGGATAGTCTAGCCTCTCTCTTTCTATCTTTAGTCCTGTCTCTTTCTCTCTCTCTGTTTCTGTCTCTCTCTATCTCTCTCTCTCCCTCTCCCTCTCTCTCTCTCCATATATGTATACAATATATATTTTCTATTTTGTTATCACCTATACTATAAATTAACATACAACTTAGGACTGTAAAAAATTCTGAAACAACGAAATAATTACATGTGCTCCTATCAATATCTGAGACTTTTGTACCCAATGTCATCATGTTTTGGAAAAACTTTTAATATTTCTTGCTTTCTGAAGATTTTGCTATGTCAGCAACATTCTTGCTGTTCATCAGAAAGTATTGAATACTGCCCTGAGAGCATATGCAGCCTTCCACAAAGCAATTTAGAAAAATCGGGCAAGCATTGAAAAAAGCAAGCAAAGCAAGTCAGTTACACACAGTGGCACATGTTAAACAGATGAACAGTTGACTGTAACACTTCTTTCATGTTTTCCCTGATGTGAGGTTAAGTGTTGAATACAAGCCCTTATGATTTGGGGAATGTAATTTACTTTTGCATTCTGTTGATTTTAATATAAATGATTAAATAAAATGTTACAGTTTAGTGCCTTGGGGTAGATTAACGTTGTCACTGTCATTTAGATTGGTAGAATTTTGTTTTTCTTCTTCTCCACCTTTTCATGGGGGCACAGAATAGTTTGCACTGGGGAAGTGCAACCCTGAAAAGCTGAAGGGAAAGAACTGTTTGGTGGTTTGTTGCTTATGGTACAAGTAACACTCCAGATGTTGTGGAATTTGTTATTCCATGCACAGTCATACGCTTTCTAAGCATGGAGCTCTACAGTGTGATAATTCACTTGTCATTTCATATCAGCATTAATTCTTTAATAAATGAGCATTTTTCTTGAGTTGATGAAAACTAACAGGTTCCCACACACTGTCTTCCCAAAAAGAAATGTCATA